TGGCATGTACATTAAAAGAATGCATTCACAAGCATTTGTACCATCAGTAAGTATAGAAAGTCCTCAGATTGAACCAAATGTACCTGGTATTTAGTGTTTTTTATTGTTTTAAAAATAAATGTTAGACGTTAGATGTTAGACAATCAGATGTGTTTAAATTTACCTAAATGCAGCCGATGCAGGGACAAAACAGATTTGTTGGAGAGAGTGGAGTCTTTGGGTGTCGTATCTATAAAACACAAAAAGGCATGTACATTTAAAGAATTCATTCCCATTCATTTGTTTCACCAGTAAGTATTCAACCAAAGTAAGCAGTGTTTCAGATCTTTTTGAAGTTGTTAGACAACAAACTGATTATGAAACACGCTTTCCAGGGAAACACTGACAAATATATTTTTTGCGTGACTCATGAGCATTAAGTGAAAAGCACTTTCTGTTTCTTTTTCTTATTTCTCACAGCAGAACAAAGTTACTCGAAAGAATCACATCTGTTTGGGGTTGACAGATGTTTCACAAGAAGAAAAATTGCAGAATTTGCATCCCAAATTAGGGAAAGAATCCTCTTTTTGTGAGTTTTGGAGCACTAATTTCACTGGAGGAATTTTTAAAACTTTGCCTAAATGCAACAGATGCAGCTTTAAAACACAAACAAGAGGCACAAATATTTTGGGAATCAATTTACAATCATTTGTATCATCAGTAAGTATTGTAAAGCTGTCAGATCCAACCGAATGTCACCAGAAGTTTTATTTGTTTTTTTAAAATATGTCTTCCTATGAAGAGTGTCTATTGTTCCGGTTAACACTGACAAACATATTTTGTCATGACACTGTTCTTATAAAACATTCTCTTTTCTTTTTCCTCACAGTGGAAGACAAAGTTATTCCAAGGAATCAAGTCTAATGTGCTGATAGATGTTAATAATGGTTGCATTCATTGTAGGTTATATAAGACATTCATTACTCATTCATTTGCTTCCAAGTTATGATGACGGTTAAACAAACACTTTAATTACGGGGGGATCACTTTAATCCCAAGTGTGCTCAGGTGTGAAGAACTTCACGCAGAATTCCTCAGAACAAAACTTGTGACGTGCTTCCTTGTTGTTGAAGTGCTGGAATTTAACCCGCAGTTATAAATGCATCACATTGTGAACAACGTTCAACTGTGTGCTCAACAAATCCAGTAACAAAAAAAACAAACACCTCTCCATGGAGGCATGTTCACATTTTTCATGTTTGATTTATGAATGCAGAGGCTGTATTATATATATGACACTGTCTGACATTAATCTTTGCTAATCACACTAAAGATTTCCACAGCGCCTTTTGTATGCTGTTAGCTTTTGCATCGATCACTTTAAACACATCAAAAATTCTTCCATCAACTGGACTGAAAACATACAATTAAGTAGAAGAATTAAATTGTTTGNATGGATGGATGGTTTTACAGGAGTTTAGTGCTGCACTTTCATAAAAATTAGGGGGAATTTTCAAACAAGCCTTAATATCTTGACCAGTGTTCAGTCATAAACTCTTTTACTCGACTCCTGCACTTTTACCTCACTGCATTTAATTTCATTTACTTCTTAGGTTTTGTTTATTTACATTATTAGGGACCAAACAGCAGCTATTTGCTTAAATAAGCACCTACATGCGGAGCTACCCCATTAAAACGCTGCTTATATAATCATTTCTCCCAACCTGTTATTGCACAATATAACGAGCAGGAGCTCTTCTGCTGCATAACGAGCACTTTTACTTCTGATACCTTCAGAACGCTCTTGTGACAACACTTTCTAACATCCATTAATTTATGACTTCTACTTTTAATGGAGCAGTTTTCTTTGCGGTGGAGCTTTTAAAGCATCTGTGATTTGTTATATCCTCACAGTTAATCTGTAGTATTTGGGTGAAGATCCTGCATTTCCTGTAGTAGAGCTGCTCTTTACCACTCTTTTAAACTCCACAACAAGTTAAAGCTGAGATCATTCTGAAAACACCATCAGGATTATAATTTTGACGTTATAAACTTCCACCTAAAACCAAAAAAACGATAATATTCTAACTCTGTCGGTGATCAGAAGTCGCTCCTCGGGTCTCTGGTTTCTACTTTGCGTGCCACTGATGTTGCTCGTCTGATATAAAAGAATGTCTGCTCGTATGAAAACAAGGATCCATTTACAAGCGTTGACATGATTGCAGGTTATCTACTCACTTCCAGCGAATTGTAAACGGCTGTGATGTTCCTGCTGCTGGTGTGTGCCAAAGAAATGCCAGCTGTCAACAGACGGACCGTCTAGTAAACAGGGTTGACTTTCGCTCACACATCTGAAAGTCACAATCACACCAAACTCACAACCTCACCGACACATTCCTAACAAGGTGTTTTTAAAGGAACCAGATCTGTTTAGGGTTGAAAAATGTTTTACAAAATGCAAATTCACTACATTTTCTTCCAAACAGAAAGAAAGAAGCCTCTTATTGGGAGTTTCTGGACCACTAATTCTACTTAAGGAGCTACTAAATTTGCCTAAATACAACCGATGCAGGGACAAAACAGATTTCTTCAACTTTTGGAGAGAGTGGAGTTGTCTGAGTAAATGAATAAATGTCATACAAATCTATAAAACACAAAATACGACATAACTAGTGCTTAATCAAAGACATGTCTACCTACAATAAAGTGTTTCAGTTTTCCAGGCTAGCACTGAAAACTGTATTTCTATGTGACTCATGAGCCATAAGTGAAAAGCACACTCTGGTTCTCATTCCTATTTCTCACAGCAGCAGAAAAAAAGACTGAAAGAAGCCTCTTTTTGTGAGTTTTGGAGCACCAATTCCACTTTAGGAGCTACTAAAGTTGTCTAAATGCAACCGATACAGGGACAGAACACAGTCATTTTTGGCATGTACATTAAAAGAATGCATTCACAAGCATTTGTACCATCAGTAAGTATAG